GGGAATTGCTTACAGGATCTCCCAAGGGGACTGGGGCGAAGTATCTCCAAGACCTGCAGCCAATGGAGAAAGGTTTTGTGTGTTTGTTTTTAAATTTGTGTGCATGATTTCCCCCCCATCAGCCTCCCACCTTTTGCTGCCAAACAGCTTTAAAGGAGGGAAAAAGAAGTCCAAAGATAACAGTGTTTATATCACCAGCTAGGGTAAATGGGGAGTGTAGGTAACTGGTGGTGGTGCTGGATTTTGTTTTTTTTCTTCTGTCTAAACCATTCAACTTATGCATTTTCCTACAGGTTGAAGACCAGGACCTCTGTCTTGGGGTGGACCAGCTTACACCATTACACCACATTGGTGCTCACATGCACACCTGCATGTGTTGCTTATGTAAAGTAAAGAACGGGATGGGAATCTACTTGAAGCTGGAGAGCTGATGCCTTGTCTGGCTGGGCTCCATGAATGACAACCCCCTCATCTTGGGGAAAGGGGGAAGGCGTTGCTTGACTTTCCAGCTTCAGGGTTTTTTCCCAAGAACTAGCTTTTTGTTCCCATCACAGGAAATATGTATCTGCTTTTTTATAGTAATAAGTTACTTTAAAAATATGTCTTGTAGATGAGTAAAAATGTTTCAGCTCTGAGCTCCAATGGTTTCATGTACCTAATCAACACGAGCTTACAGCACTCCTGCCTTGAAGTTTTCCTCATAATTACTTACAGCTCCTGCAGAGAAGAAGGGAGTAGACACCAGAAATAAATGACTGGTCAGGTTAGGTGACATAATGAAGCACTAGAATAGCCTGTGTTCCCCAGTCTTCTATGCAGTATAGTCATTCATCATGCAGCCATTCACCCTGTCTGGTCTTTGAAGCGGTGGTACAGTTTGCCCGCTTGTCTTGCTTTTTATTTGTATTGGAGAGTTTACTATGCTTTTACTGTATGTTCCCATAAGAATTTCTGGGTTCTCTTTCTTGGTGTTGCCTTGATACATAGGCTAAAGAGAATGAAGAATGTCATGGAGGGAAACAGTTCTGTTGCTCTTTAAAAAAGTTTACATACTTACTTGAGATCTTCAAATTGTTGTACTTATTGAGTCAATACATAACCATGCTTTTAGCTGCATTTTAAAATAGGCATTTTATGATTAATCTTGTAAGCAAATGTTTCCATGGCTTATCAGGAATAGTTATCTAAAGGAATTACTAACAAGTTCTTAAGAAGTTAACAGTGTTAACTGTTTTAATGACTCGTTCTTGCAAAACTTTGAGGTGGAAAATAACAAGTCTCAGTAAACTCTGTGTGTGTTTCCCTTCTTCCCTTAAATGCTTTTCATACAACTAGTTATCCTTTAGATCAGCCTTAGAGATCTTTTTTTTTTTTTTAGTTATTTGTTCTATAAGTGCAAGCATTGAGGCAGTTCACATTTATGCAGTGAAGGGCTAGGAGGCAGTCTACTCTTGCAGGAGGTAGGGGCTGTTCTGTGTAGTAGGGTGAGGGCTTTTTCTATTCCAGAAAGGTAGAAAACCTCAAAATTCTTAACCAGACAGAGTATCCATATTAGGCATTTGAAGGCATGTTTTCTCCATACCGTCAGCCTCTCCTGAAGCTAGTTGTAATGTACTGCAAGGGCTCTGCCTTCAAAGCAGGGATGAAAAATTTCATGTTCTTTTGTTTTTTCCGCTTCCTTTGCATTGTGTGGAAGCATCACTGGAAGAGTTGCTTTGGAAGGTAGGAACCCCCATGATGTGGGTGAATGTGAACTTACCAGCTCAGTTGTGATGTTCAAGCTCCCAAACCTTATGAAAGGGGACGGGGAGAAGCCTTAGAAATCTTGGACCAGCCCTGGCTGGGAACAAGAGAATCTCCCCCCCGCCCCCCTATTTTTAGTTATGCAGTCTGACTGGTGTACAAACAGGAGGAAACTTGCACTGATCGTCTACACTGTGAAGGAGGGAAGGCGAGTGTGTATGAGTGACCTTGTGCTGCTGAGCCACTACAGCAGGCTTCTGGGTAATAAATTTCTGTAGCAGGTTGTGAAAGTAAGCTGGTGACATGCTGCAAGAGTAACACAAACTGACACTAGTAATCATTGCTTGAGAACCACAAAGAGAAAGGAGGCTGGGAAGAAGGGGAAGGAAATAGTAGGGAAGATGAGGGGGAGAAATGCGTTAAGAACTTAAAGGCTGGCAGATGGTATTTATTGTATTTAATACAGAGACACTCAGTGCCTGCTTTGTGTTTCTGCAGCACCTGCCTGAGCACATCAGTGACAAATGGGCATGCGAGGTAAGGAATAGGGACATATTTCTGCAGTATTTATTCAAACAAAAATCTTGCTTATGTGAAGCCTGAAGAATCAAACCACATACAGAAGTATTTTTGTCTATGCTTTTTTGGAATGTATTTGAGACTGAAAATATGTACCTGAAGAGCTCTATGCACGTGGCACACCTGGATAGCAAGATTCAGATGTGTTATTAGTTTTGTTCAAATTCCTTAGGAAAAGACAAACTAAAAACCCACACTTGAAGTGGGATGTCTTTAAAGTTGTTTTTTGCCAGGTAACGTTGGCTTTTTCTTCAAGAGGGCCTCACAGTCATTTTCTCTACTGGTTTGTTTTAGGCAATAGGTTTAATAGCAGTAGAGGTTAAAAAAAAAAGAAAAAATCCCATCTGGCAGTCATTTCTTCTCTTAATTGAGTTCCTAGTTAAGCAAAAGACAAACTAATCCTGTCACTAACTTCCTTTCTTTTCTGTGATTGTGTTCTGCCCCAGAATTTGACTGTAGATTCTGTAAAGGTTTGTAAATTACAGTGTGGGGTTTTTTTTCCCAATTATTATTCAATTTTGCTGTGTTTTGGGGAATGTAGGGCTTTTATTTCCAATGCAAATCTAGTAGAAAGCTACACCCCTGGAAAGATGTAAAATTGTGAATGTGTGTCACAAAGCAGCTTTTGGCAGGGGACGTCTGGAAGCGCAATCAGCCATATATACACTTCTGTATCTCCATAGCTGAGATGTTAACATCTTTGACTTTTGTTGGGAAATCAGTTTCTGACCAGTGAAATTATTGTTTGCTTAACATATGGCAGTTAAGGTCTCCCTCCACATCTCTGACTACTGTTTTGATGCATAATAGCGTGCATTGAATAATACATACTCCTGCCACAGTAGTAGTTATTTCTGATCACCTGCCCTGATCAGAAATATTCAGGAGGACTGACAAATCAGTTATTTATCTGTACCATAAACGTGGTTTTATCATATTAAGGTAATGTTATTTGAATAGAGATTGTCTGTTAGCCTGGCTGTAACACTGTTAGATAAAATTCATTCATGTCACTAATGCTTGTTCTCCAGTGCACAGCACAATGTCACCCAAAAGCTTCAGGCAATTAATTTCACTAATGATGACTGAAAATGTAAATGACTTGTTCCTAGCTGTTTTCTGGTTTTGGTCACTAGTTGAGGCCGGTAGGGGACCTAAATTGATAGGATTTCAGAAGTGTTTCAAAGACTGGCCTGGTTTTGATCTTCCTGAGGTGAATGAGGATTTGTGGTGCTTTCAGGCTTGCCTGAAGCCAGGAGAACATCTGAGAAGTCTCATCCTTCCAGCACAGACATTAATATGGCACAGATGCGCTCTGAGAAGGGGATACATTTTACTTAGCAAAGAATAACCCCTCACATTAGACCTTTGCTTTGGTGCAGAAGTTTTGTGATAGCTTTGATAGGAAGCAAACATGTTCCTTAACTCCGTCTCTTTTCCATCTTGACAGACAGCTCTCATTAGTCCTATGGTCCCCCCAGCTCAGGACATGGGTTGCTTGAAGAAAGCCACTACTTTTAGATTTTAATTTTCCATCTCCATGGAGATAGACCTCTGCAAGCTTGTTGGCTTTACTGACTCACTTTGACTTCTCATGCCCGAGACCAGAGAGACTTTGCTAAATAAAGGTTTGATTCACAAGTCTTGTGGTCAGGCTTATAGTTATAAGCAAAACAAATACAAAGCCTACTTCTTGCCTGTCCTTGATAATGGGATAAGCAAATAGGAAGGTGAAAGTTATATGATCGTCACTAGGAGACTGCTGAGAAACCACTCTCCAGCTTGTAAGTACAGTGGTGTTTTAAACAGTCCGTGCTCTCCTACCAATTCTTGTACCGTTTCCTACAGTTAGGTTTTGGGAACAAAACTGGGTGCCAATCCAGAATGATTTTGAGGTATTTAACAGTGATTTCCCTGTTTCCCCCTCCTCTGTCCCCTGTTTGCTTCATCAATTCCTTAATATTCTGATAGTTACACTATTAATAACTATTCTTGGCTCTGCACACTTTGCCAGCCATCCACCTTGTCTTTGGTTTGGGGATGGATGCTCTTCATCCAGTCTGAGCTATTGGCTTTGCTCTGGATGATTCATACACCCCTGTCAAATGTAGAATGCATTACTTGTAGCAAAGCATACGACTGTTACTTCTGAGAAGTTAACAGTGATGTATAAGGTGTACATATAACAGACCTGGTTCCAGGTGCCTTGTCGAAACAGCTTTCTGGTCTATAATTTTGCAGTTTTTAGAGGAGCTTGAAGACCTTTATGTGACAGGAATAGGTGTGTTTGTTTCTTCTGCAAGTTTGTTCTGTTCTTCATGTAATTTTGTTGGATTATTTTAAGCTATAAATGCTAATTTTACATGTATTTTGATAAAATAATTTGTAGCATTAAATTTCCAGTTTTCAAACAAATGAAACTCCTTTTTCTCAGTGTCACTGTGGAAAATTTCTGCTCCCTCTTTCCATGCAGTCTCCTTGTTTCCAGTCTCTCCCCTGTCCCCCCAACTTGCTGTACCAAGATGTGTGACTGTGTGGTTTATGTTCAGCATTTCAGTTTCATTAAAGCTCTTGCTTTGCCATGCTCTGTTGAGATGATTGATGCTTTTCAACATGTTACTGGTTCGTGGCTTTGCATATACTACATACATTTATATATCTCTTGTTCTTTATTTCAGAGATGGTGATGTTGCTGGAATGGTGGTCAGGGACCGATTGCACCCTCTACACTGACCCAGAGAGTTACAACAAGTATGGGAAGGAGAATGCCATCGTCATCCTTAATCACAACTTTGAAATTGACTTTCTCTGTGGTTGGAACTTTTGTGAAAGATTTGGGGTCTTAGGGGTGAGTTTTGTTTAGCATTTAAACTTTCTCTCCTTGGATGTCGAAAAAAAACAAAAACAAATTCTTTGGTTTTGAAAGTTAACAGATCTGTGCTTCAGTTTCACTTAGCCACTGTCCAGACTTAGAGAGGTGAACCTAAAGCAATGCAGTGCAAGTATGTGGAATACTGAGACAGGATTGCTCAGGTATTCACAGAGGTTTTAAAAGCATTGCAGGTAAAGCTGATGAAAGAGAGATTTTTTTTTTTTAACCTGTGGAGGTCATTACAGTTGCTTCGCTTTGTGTGCTTGCACAGGGGTAATAGGTAACTATTACAGTTCATTGTGCTGCAGAAAAATGAGCCATTCTGTAATTCTTTCCCAATAAATTGTAGAATTTGTTTGCTTTCTCCAGTGTAGTCTTACAAATTCAGAGCTGAAGTTTGAATGGTGTAGTCTCTGTCTCTCAGAAGGAAAGAGCTGCCATCCCACGTGAAAGCAGTAACCAGGTTATAGCTAGTAAGGGATGGGGGAAGAATGAGTTATCCATAGTTGAATACACTATTACATTAGGCTAGGGGTACGTGTGCATTTGTTTTCAGGGTTGTTTTTTTGTTCCCCCTGTCAGCTCATGGTGATGATTCAAGCACCCGCTTCTAAGCCAGCTTGACTTAATTTTGTGGTGGTGGTGTGGTTTAACCCCAGCTGGCAACTAGGACCATGCAGCCATTCACTCATTTCCCCTCTGCGTCGAGCAGGATAGGCAGAAGAGGTAGAAAAAGGGAAAACAATCTCATTGGTTGCGGTAAAAACAGTTTGATAGAACAGTAAAGGAAGAGAAAATAATAATAATAAGGGTGGAAGAATATACAAAATGAGTGATGCAATACAGTTGCTCACCACCTGATGATCGATTGCCCAGCCCGTCCCAAAGAGCGCTCGTGGATTCCTGCCCCTCAGCCACCCCCCATTTATATACTGAGCATGATGTCTGTGCTATGGAATATTCCTTTGGCCAGCTTGTCCTGTCTGTGCTCTCTCTCAGCTTCTATGGGAAGCTGAAAAAGTCCTTGACTTAATATAAGCATTACATAGCAACAACGAAAACAATGTGTGTTATCAACATTATTCTCATACTAAGTCCAAAACACATCAACTGCTAGGAAGAAAGCTAACTCTATTCCAGCTGAAACCAAGATGGGTGGTGACGACATTCTCTACCTAAAAGGGATTTAGATAAGGGTTCTTCCCACCTAATGAAGCAGACTAATAACTCTTTTTGGTGGTCTTCTGCAGCATCATCTTCTAATTTTGCTACTGGCCACTGTCAAAACTCCTGACCTTGGATTGTGTGAACCTATGACTTTCTATGGCCTTTCCTTTGGACTCTTTGTGTTTTCTGGACATTTAGTTGCCACGTCAGTCACTTTCAAATTATAATAATGACAGTCTGCTTAAAATAATAAAAAGAGGCCTTAAAACTGGAGGAAAATGAATCTAGCCATTACAGGCCCTGCGTATTACCAAAATGGCTGTTGGCTCCTGGTTACTGAGGAGCAATCCTACCATCATGTCTAGGATTTCAGCACAGAGCTGGAGGGAAGT